AGGGGGAGGGGGCGGGGCGGTCAGGCGCGCGACTGCCCCCGCTCTCCGTGCGCCTTGCAGAAGCGACCGAGGGGTGGGCGGCTGGTCCTCCCGGGTTTCATCCCCCCTCCATCTCTCCCACTTCCGCAGAGCGCTGTAAAAGTGTCCCAAGGTGTGCAAGCTGTCCCATGCCCGTGCGCGTGCTTGGCGACAAGGGCGAGGGGCGTGGGGGGGCCGGCGAGGCTCCCGGGGGACGGGCGCTGGAGGGGGTTCGCCAGGGAGCGGGGCTTTCGTTTCCAGGCGCCCCGCGGGAAGGTGAGACCGTAGAGGGCACCGGGTTTCCTCCTGGAAAGGGCTTCTGGCGCTGGCGAGCGGGGAGCGCGCAGCCGGGCGGCTGGGAGACCGGCGGGCGCCGGGTGTGCAGCTCCTGCGGCCCCTCCACTTTCTGTTATGCCAGGTGCCGGACGTCCATTTCGGTGAGTGCTGTGGGCAAAATGCCACAGACGCCGTTTCCCTTAAAACCACCGCCACGGTTGATGTGTGTCGTTCGAGTTACGGGAACACCGGAGTCAACGACGCAGGACCGATCAGGAGCAACCGTCGCAGGTTCTGCGCATCCGTAACGTCCAGAGCAGCGTCTGTTATCTGCATCTTGGGCTGCAGCCCCTGGGACCGCACTGGAGCTACCCAGAGCAGCCACCTGGCATGTCCAGGCAGTGCCACCTCTGGGTACAGCCCCCTCACCCCCTTTCAGGCCACAGCTCGCTCTCCCTGGACATTGGGGTCAAGAACCAGCTTTCTGGGGGCTCCTTTCCAAGCCTTGGTGACTAGACGACTGCACGAGAACCCTGGGGACCGCGACACTGCGACACCTATTTGTGAAGAGCCACCATTCAGAGTGGACCCGGACCCCTGCTTGCTCTGCTGGCATCAGGTGACTTGGCACAGTCCCTTAGCTGGGCGGTGAAAGTCCTAAAAGCCTTCGAGTCTTTTGACCCAGTAATTTCACTCCAGGGACTGGCCTGAGGAACTAAGCCAAGAGCAGAAAAAGCGCTGGCACAGACGTTCCCATTGTGTTGCTGAACTTGGAAGCAACCTGGTGCTTGGCATTAGGGGAACGGTTAAAACACCCCTCACTTACTTACAGGAACGTCGCACAGCCACTCAGCCATTAGGCGGGTTATGTAAAACCACAAACATGCTTATTAAGTGAAATAGGTAACATTCAAATTGTATAAAATTCCATGAATGCAACTCTGAGAAAGACAAATATATATGGGCATAGACTAGAAGCAAATGAACAAAAATGAATGATTTTTGTGTCTGGGTGGTAGGATTATGAGTAAATTTTCCTTTTTTAAAAAAAACACTTTATTTTGTTTTTTTTTTTTTAAAAAAAACATATCTTTATTGATTTCAGAGAGAGGAAAGGAGGGGGAGAGAGAGAGATAGAAACATCAATGATGAGAGAGTCATTAATCGGCTGCCTAGCCCACAACCCGGGCATGTTCCCTGACCAGGAATCGAACCCCGATCTCCTGGATCCTAGGTCGATGCTCAACCGCTGAGCCACACCCGGCTGGGCTATATATTGTTTTCACAGCAATACAATACAAAGGTCTCTTTTAAACACCATCAGCCCTTAATTTGGAGCACAAGTCTTGTGCAAAATAAGTGATTTTAACACTGCTACTCACTAGAGAAATAAATATGGAGAAGCTTAAGGCTTCCCTGGACAGGTCGTTTAAAAGCAGGCAATCCATTCCCTGGCAGGTGTGGCTCAGTTGGTTAAGCATCAGCCCATGCACCAAAAGGTCACTAGTTCTATTCCTGGTCAGGGCACATGCTTGGGTTGCAGGCTCAATCCCCAGTGTTTCTCTTTCCTCCTGCCCTCACCCTCACCCTCGCCCTCGCCCTTCCTCTCTAAAAAAATCAAAAACAAAAAAACCAATAAAAACATTTAAAATAAAAACAGGCAAACCGAATCATGCTTAGAAAGCCTTTATAAAGACCAAGAAGACAGACAAAATCATTTTGAAATAAATGGTGACTATTAGAGATAATACATTAGTTTTAGGTCATATCCACATGGCAGTAGAGCTGCCCCTCCATGTGCTAAATGTACAGCACACTCAGGTCCATTCAGTGAAATTCTGAACATATATTTTCTACAGGAAAATACAGCCAGCCTCGTGGCAGTCCCCGACACATACTGCAGGACAAGCAGACACCACCCACATCTGAGAGGCGGGAGAGCGGCCCTTGGGGGCCTGGGCGCAGGTGGTGATGAACAGAGAGGCTGGAGAGGCCAAGTGCAGTGGGCTGAAGAGCGTCATCCGACTTATTACCTAACACTATTCTGGAGGTCCTGGCTAACTCCGTAAGGCGCTACCCGAAATGGAAGCTGATTATTAGAAAGGACGAGGCAACATGACCATAACATAATAGACGATCAGCTCCCTAGACTATCCAAGAGGCAACTGAAAAATGCAAAGGGGAATAAGAGATGAACAGAGTGACTCGACTGAAAAAAAAAAAGGTATGCTTGCCATACCTATAACAAACAATTAGAAGTTATTTTAAAAAAAACCATTTCACAATGTGGGAAGGAAAGACAAGTAGAATGTTTAAACTTACTGGCAAATAGGCATGATCTGGACTGTGAGAATTAATAACGGAATCCTCAACTAAAATTGGGCTCTGGAGGGCCTGTGGAGAAGGCTGTCACCCTAACACTCCTCATCACTTACCCGAAACATGAAAAGACTGGACCTTGCATCTCCAACAGGAAGGCGTACCATGTAGCTCACTACCTCTACTTGAGAAAGGAAGATTTTCTTCTTGCCCAGCAACAAGCCCAGCCAATGGAAAACACCGCAGCTCAACCAATGAGAAACCATCACCCTGAACTCTTTCCTCCAATGAACTTTCAATTAGCTTTTGCCCATGACCTTGCCCCATCCTTTCTACAAAAGCCTTCCTTTCTGCATAACTCAGCTAGATGAGATGCTGCCTGGTTTATAAATCATTTAATAAAACCCATGAGATCTTTCAATTTACTTAGTTGAATTTTGTTTTTGCTCTTTTAACAGGATAAAGAAAATTACAAACTTTATATCTCTCAAAATGTACATGGCAGAGTTAAAAATGTACATGGTAGCCTTGGCCAGTGTGGCTCGGTTCAGCGTCATCCCAGGCACCCAAACATTATCAGTTCAATTCCTGGTTAGGGCTCATACCTAGGTTTCAGTTCGATCCTGGGGTGTATATGGGAGGCAACTGATTGATGTTTCTCTCTTTCCCTCTCTCTCTCTTCCTTCCTCTCTCCCTCTTCATCTCTCTCTAAAATCAATAAAAAGGTTTTAAAAATGTGCATGGCAGACATGCTTGGAGCTCACATCCTATGAAGGAACCAGCAAGAACCAGCTAGCAGGGGAGAGCAGGATCTGGGCTCCGGGAAGGCCCCGGCTAGCGTCTGGAGGTTGACTCAGAGGCCGCATAGAATGTCAGGTGGGGAACAGGTGAAAATGTCACACTGTCACTACTTTAATGTTTTCAGCAGCAACAGCCTGGAAAACACTTAAATCTTCATCTCGGGGCCCTGGGGAAATGAAGGATGGGGCTCCCGGAGTTTTGTCATATCTCCCAGCATGAAAAAGTGCTGTTGACCTTAAAAATAAAAGGCAGTTATTTTACCAGCATGATGGGTTTATTCAGGAACAGCAAAGAACTGCAATTTAGAACAAGCAAGCTATAGCAAAAGCTATAAACAAGTCCAATAAACAAAAGAGAGGAATGTTATTTTATGGAGAAAAAGAGGGAAGTTGGGAGAGGTTGAACAAAAGCTCATTGGAGACCACCGATAGCTCAGGGAGACGACAGTTTTCGTTGGCTGAGTCGGGGGCAGCTGATTTCCTGCAGGAGAGGCAACGTGCATCTTTCCCCGTGGAGTCTATAGCTGAGGATTCTTTCCTGTTGACAGTTCTGTTGGGGTCTATAATTGACAACGCTTCCTGTGACCGAGGGGACGGGTTCCCGGTGAGAGCTCCCCCTCTGGCCTCCTGACTCTCTTTGGTGTGGTTTCACTTTAATTTTCACAGTGCCCATCGTATACTGTAAAATGGGAACATGAGTGGAAAGTTGGCATGAATACTAGAATGGCATTTGTGTAAAAACAGTCTGTTTAGATAAAGTTTCCGAGCTATTAGGAAATATTTACCAGCATATTGTATTAGTTGGCGAGGGCTGACGGGAAGAAAATACGGTAACGGGAGAGGCTTGAACAGAAGGAATGTATTGTCCCTGAGCTCAGGGGGCTGGAAGCCCAAGATCAAGGTGTGAGAAGAGCTGGCTCCATGAGGACTCTAGACCTAACTATGAGAGGTGCAGTAGCTTGTAGACGAACCCACAGAGTATTTTCCCCAGGGAAGGCAAAAATTCCCTAAACAGAACACCAAAAGCACTAACCGAAAGGGCAGAAAGGACACACTGGGCTACATTAAAATTTAGAATTTCTCTTCAAGTGACACCACTAAGACAGTAAAAAGACAAGCCACAGAGTGGAAGGAGATATTTGCAATACATACACCCCACAAAGAATTCATATCCAGAACCTATAAGGACTCTAGACATCAACAAGAAAAGGCAGAAATCGCCCACTGGTGTGGCTCAGTGGTTGAGCATCAGCCCATGAACCAGGAGATCACGGATGGGTTCCTATCGGGGCACATGCCTGGGTTTGGGGCTCGATCCCCAGTACGGGGTGTGCAGGAGGCAGCCGATCAATGACTCTCTCTCATGATTGATATTTCTATCTCTCCCTTCCTCTTTCTGAAATCAATAAAAACATATTAAAAATAAAACTTTAAAAGAAAAGAAAAAAGCAGAAATTCCCAAAGAGAATCCAGCCCCAGATGTGGACAGGCTGTGCACCAAAGAGGTGGCTCGAATGGCAAGGAACCCATGAAACATGCACCTCCTTGCAGTCATCAGGGACAGGCCAGCGGGACCACAACATGACATCTCTTCACACCTGTCAGAATAGCCAAAATGACGAGGGTGGGAAACACCCAGCGATGCCCGAGGTGTGGAGCACCGGCAGCTCCCAGATGGCTGAGGGCCACGAGCACCGGGGCTTCGGCTTCGGGGAGTTGGTGCTGTCCCCTAACCTTGAGCAAACGCTCACCTTACAGCCGGCAGTCCTGCTCTGGGTGTACATATCCATAGACACACACAAGCAAAGGTGTTTATTGTTCCACAACTTGTGTTTTGGTTTTTTTAACCCTCACCTGAGGATGTCTTTCCAGTGCTTTTTCAGAGAGAGTGGGAGGGAGAGAGAGAGAGAGAGAGAAACATCAATGTGAGAGAGACACATTGATTGGTTGCCTCCCACATGCACCCCAACTGTGGCTGGGGATCGAGTTGCAACTGAGGTACGTGCCCTTGGCCGGAATCGAACCTGGGACCCTTCAGTCCACAGGCCGACGCTCTAACTACTGAGCCAAACCAGCTAGGGCCTCAATGGCATTTTAATTTTTTAATTTAATTTAATTTTTATTTTTAAAAAATATATCTTTATTGATTTCAGAGAGAGGAAGGGAGAGGGAGAGAGAGAGAGAGAGAAACATCAATGATGAGAGAGTCATTGATCAGCTGCAGCCCGCAACCCGGGCATGTGCCTTGGCTGGGTATCAAATCACGATCTCCTGGATCCTAGGTCGATGCTAANTGGCTGGGAATCGAACCCTGATCTCCTGGATCCCAGGTCGACGCTCAACTGCTGAGCCACGCCCGGCCGGGCCCAATGGCATTTTTAAAAGAAATAGAACAGCCCAGCCGGGCGTGGCTCAGCGGTTGAGCATCGACCTGGGATCCAGGCAATTGGGGTTCGATTGCCTGTCAGGGCACATGCCCGGGTTGCGGGCTCGATCAATGACTCTCATCATTGATGTTTCTCTTTCCCTCTCCTTCTCCTTTCGTCTCTCTGAAATCAATAAAGATATTTAAAAAAAGAAAAAAGAAATAGAACAAAAAAGTCATCAGGCTCTGGCCAGTGTGGCTCAGTTGGCTGGGCATTGTCCCTGCACCAAAAGGTTGCTGGTTCAATTCTTGGTCAGGGCACACGCCCAGGTTTCAGGGTCGATTCCTGGTAGGGGGCAGCAGGAGGCAGCCAATCAATATTTAACTTTCTCATCAATGTCTCTCTCTTTCCCTCTCCTTTCCTTTCTCTCTAAAAACCAGAAAAATTTGCTGGTTTATCCTGGCCAGGCCTGTGGTCACTGAGCTAGCAGGAAACCATCCTCCAGCTGGGAACAGGCTACCAGCTGCCAGTGCCCAGACACGTGGGCACACAGAGGGAATGTAGGCCTGGTGACAATCGTCCAGGGTGCAGGTGGATGCAGGTGAGCCACAGTCAGGGGCTAGGTGTGCAGCCGAGCAGAAGCAGTCCGGGTGCTGGGGTGGGCAGGAGACCTAGCGCACGTGGTGTCTGGGTCAAGGACTACAAGGCAGTTAGCGCCAGGCCAGGCTGCAGGGCTGCTGAGGGTCCGGGTGTCCTGGGCACATGTGGGGCAGAGCACGACCACATGTCCTCACATCCATCCCTGGGCCTACCCACCCTACAGCCTCAGACAGTGAGGGACCTTCCACTGGACGTGTCCGCATGGCGCCCTCTACTGGGGAGGCTTGACATTGTGCTCACTGAGAGGAGACGCGCTTACAGGGATGCACCCCAGGACCCCAGAGCACCTGCTACAGGGAGAATTTGGAGCTGAGAGGCGACAAATTCATTACTGGTGTCAGCAATAACAACTTTCTAAAACGCCTTGTCTACTCGCTGTAACATCTGTGTCAACCCTCCACCAGGGTCCAGGGGGACCAAGTGAACACGGCCATCTGGGAAATCGCGGGCCAGGTTGGTTCGCTTTCTCGCCGAGCCTGTTCGCACTTGACATCATGTGGGTCAGAGAAAGGTCGAAGGTGACAGAGTGTTGCCGCGCAGGGAAGCACACCAGGCTCCGTCGCCAGGAATACTGAAGGCCCCGCATTGGTGACTGGCTGTCCCGGGAACAAGTTCCGTGACCGCATCCGCTCAGGTAGGAGAAGCACGTCATGGTTAATGCGGGCACCGCGCCATGGAGCAGAGCTGGAGGGCCCGGGGCGTGATCTACACACACAGTGACAGGTACCGGTGTCCCACAGGTGAGAGCCAGGAAGACCTTGCTGTCCCCGCTCTGTGTCGGGCGACAAGGGCCTGAGCTTGTCCAAGCCACAGCTCCTCACCTCTGAGTCTGTAACCGGGGATTTTAACGG